AAAGTTGTATTGAAGTACAACATCGTACATAGTTCCTGTTGAATACCTCTCTATAATCTGGAGGTAAACATGTCATCTCGATTAGACACAATCACCTTTGGCATACCATGCAATCTGATAATATATTTGGCATAAATCTTTGCTAACCTGACCACCAGATCAGTCTGTCAAATCGGAATAAAATGAGCAGCCTTTATCAGTTGATCAACGAATACCCAGATAACATTATGCCCCTACCTCAATCTGGAAAAACCCACAGCAAAATCTATCGTTACTTATTCCTATTTATATTTTGGAATAGGTAATGATCGTAGAAGATCACTCGATCGCTGATGTTCTGCCTTTACTAATTGACATGCCTCAGACTTTAACACAAACTTTTCTATATCCTTCTTCAATTCAAGCCACCAAAACATTCCCTTCAGATATCCGTACATCTTACTACATCTTGGATGAATAGTATAGCCTGAATAGCGAGCTTCATGCAGAATCTCTCGTCTTAGATCTCAAAAAAATAGGAACCTTACGGTCTATCTTTGCATAAAATAATGCTAGAAATAGAAACTCGTAGTTTAGATTTCTTATCATATCTAATTTGATCAATCAACTTTAAATATTATGCACTAACTTGTGAGTTTCCTCAATCTTTTTTTGCAATGAAAGGCTAAATGATCATCTGAGCCAATATACCAGAATCTCAATCACTAGAAGAAAATACCTCCAACTGAAATCTCTCTATCTCTCATGTCAAATACTCATCAGAAGTGAGTTGTATACCTGATAGTTTAGAAGACTTCCTTCTCAAAGTGTCTGCCACCATATTAGCCTTACCAGACTGATATTGAATAGTCAGATCATAGTTTTTGATCAACTCAAGCCATCTCTTAGTGAAGCATCATTGAATACCTTAAATCGTTCTGTTTTAGAAGGAGAAGGAAGAGCCAAAACTTGAGCAAAAGTTAAACAATACTTTAATATCTGAAAATTAACCTCGCACTCCGGTGTTTAATCAAAAGTTCCTGATTTCTGAGTCAGTCTCGTCAGAGATGTAGAAATATGAGAAAAAACCCATCACAAACTTTATGTAATATCCAATCATATCTAGAAAATTGTGTATCTCAAATATGATAGTAGGCCTCAGACAATCAGTGATTGTGTGAACTTTGTGGGGATCAAAAGAAATATCAGTACTACTCACCACATGTCCCAGAAAAGCAATACACTTCAGCTAGAACTCACATTTGAAGAATTTTGCAAATAGCTTATGCTGTCTCTGTCTCTAAAATAATCCTCAAATGTCTAGCATGATCTTCCTCAGAAGTAGAATAAACTAGAATGTCGTTTATGAAGATAATAACAAATTGATCCAAGAGATCTCGTAACACTCTATTTATTAAATCCATAAAGACGGTTAGTGCATTGGTCATCCTAAATGGCATGATCAAAAACTCATAGTGTTCATATCGAGTACTGAAAGCTGTATTCATCACATCAGTCTTCATTACCCTCACCTAATAATAGCCACATCGTAAATCAATCTTCGAGAATACCAAAAATCCAGTAAGCTGATCGATCATTAATTCACAGTAGAGGATATTTTTTCTTGATAGTGACTTTGTTCAATTCCTTGTAGTCAATGCACATACGCATCACACTGTCTTTTTTCTTCACAAATAAAATAGGTGCTCCCTATGGGGACACACTATGATAAATGAATCCTTTGTCAACCAACTTCTGAAGCTCCTTAGGTATCATTCTATGTGGAGCTTTGGAAATCAGGGTCGTACTCGATAATATATCAGTACAAAATTGTCTCTGTACGGAGTTAAATTGACACTCCTTAGAAAATACATCCTGAAAATCTCGTACTATCAAGACATAAAAAAAAAAGATAAGACTTTATATTCATATCCCGAACTAATGTTAGAAATATCATTTAACCCTTTTTCGGCAGTCTATCTGCTTCTACAATAGAGATCAAACATGATAGAATTTCTCTAACTTCCTTAAATATACAACTCTCACTGCCCAAAAATAATGTAATTTTCTTCTTCAAGCAATTCATTTTGAGCCTCATACCAACTTAACCAGTTCATACCCAAAAAGTGTGCTCGATTGTTTTATAAAACTCTGCGATCAAAATCCTCAAATCCGCCACACTTAAAAAAATGTGCGTCGGCCTTCAATAAATGCTTAAAAATCACACGGATTTTCACGCAGTGGAATAGTGCGCATGAGTTCTTATATTTGCATTTTTCCTCCCGCGTTGGAGTGATGGGCATGATAATTAAATGTTTGTTCCTATTCCTACAATTTTACGATTTTACCTTTTTTGTTATCTTTTTTCTCATATATATATATATATATATATATATATAGAGAGAGAGAGAGAGAGAGAGAGGTGATGAATTGATTGATAGAGTTTGTTCAGCAATGCGTCATGAGGATTGGTGGTTGGTTGGCTACTACATGGAGGCTCGTAGTTTGACAAGCTTGATGGTGTGGTTAGATATCCAATAAGCTTGGTAGTTCAAATTGGATAGAATTTACCTTAAATTTTATCAAGTAATAAAAATGATAGTTTTAAATCCTACTAAATCTTAAACCCCATTTCTCATTTATTCAACCTTAAATCCGCAAGCCTCATAAACTCCGCAAGCCTCGCAAAATCCTTTCTATCACACATTGCTGGTTCAATTGAGCCTTGTCCTAGCAAGCTCCATGTCCGAATTCCTTTCCTATTTACATGTTGGTATCGTTGAGGCCTTCATTGAGCGAGCTTCATGTGTGACTTCCTCATTTTTTTATTTGCACACCGTTGATGTAGTCGAGGCATTTGACAATGAATTCCCTTATTAGTTTTCCTTATTGTTTATGTCGTCGAACATTCATTGGGGAAGTGAAAGGGGAGAGACAAAGTGCAATTTTGTGCGAGAGATGAACAAGAAGAGAGGATGACTGAGGGAGTGATGGCAGCCCATCATTTTTTTTGGTTATTTTATTTCATTTAGATGAGAAAGGGGAGAGAGAAATGGAATTACGTGACAATACAATATGGGCTGGGATTTATGGGATTTGACACGAAATGTAGGCATTTGCATGAGTATGGGAGTTTGACGTGGCGCAACATTTCCCAGCATGGATTTCTAGAAAATTTCCAACTTTATATTCTATCACACATCTCAAGCTGGTGGATATAATTGACCTTCTAAATTGCTCCCTATTGATAAGTAAATATTACACAACTTTGATTTCAAACCTTCTATGATATGTCATAGAAAGTAAGAGTTTCTTAGACTTTAATGGGGTTTCCCCGTCAACTTTCATGACTTCTATTTATTTAAAAATACGATGCAATAACTCCAAAGGTTAGTCTCCCATCAAGTTAATTAGTTTTGGAGACCAGGTCGACGAGTTGGTTCTACCCCCTCGGGATTTGCTTAATTTGTAAATGCTCAAATATCTCAATTTTCATCGTTACTTTGAAGATATATCTCTGGAATATATCTTCACAAATTTCATATTGCCCATTGACTTGATTTATCATAATTTGAGAGTTTGAGAAGACGGGTAGGTGTTTCAGTCACCCTTTTTGCAGAGACTTAGTCCAGTGTTTAGTGCCTTAAAATTGATATTCATTGCATGGTTAGCTTGATTCATCATGCTGGTCTTTTTAACACCATTTTGACTCTCAACTCTTTGGACTCTTGAGGCTCCATCAACGTATAGAGTCTGTAGCAAGTCTTCTCTATTTACCATCTCCTCTTTTGCTTTTGGAAGGATAAAGTTGGAAAGAATATTTGCTAATGTTTGTCTTGATCATAATCCTTAATGTGTTAGATATATTGAACTCAGCTTGACTGCGAATTTAAATAATCTTCCTTAGTTATCGAGCATGGTCATTATGGTTTTTAGCTGGTGATTGGTGTCTACTTGGATTGAATGGGCTTGAAAGTACAGTCGAAGTCGCATGCAATGATGACTAGTGCTCATGCCATTTTCTTAATGATCAGGTTTCTCAACTCTACACCTAAGTGTGTTTTGCTTACATTGTAGACGAGCCATTGTTTCTTGGAATTTTCTCGTTTCAACATGAAGCTTAAAATCTCCTCCTACTTTGTATTTAGTATAGAAGCAAATCTTCCCTCGATTGTGTTTTACATCAGTGGTAGTGCAGTAAAAAGAGATTTCAGCTGTTGAAAAGATTTTTCTTTCTGTTCATTTCATGTGAAATGTTGAAAAGAGTGAGCACTTTTCTTAGTTGATAGTGCTTGGAATTGTCAGCAGCAGTGATAAATTTGGTGATTCTTTCATCAATTGTCTGATTTCCTGTTTAGGTTCCATTCAGGGTTAATTTCTTTTATTGTTAAGCGTTAGAAAGTGATTGGATCTTACTTGTAGAAGTAAATTCAAATGCTTCTAAAGCTATTCCTGGAACTCATCTTTATGAAGAGTGAGTTTTGATGGATAGAAAATTACCTTCAATTTTGCTTTTTCCCTTTTAATAATAATAGATTAATAATAAGTTAAATGCCATGATAAGTTAGAAAGTTACATTTATGTGTAATAGTAATAAAATAATGACAAGTAATAAGATGGTGGGTAAAAATGTAACAGCCAATCAAACATAAGAACTGAATATCCAAAACTGAGCTCTTACACAACCAATTAATATTATTGCAACTCACTTTAATATGACTAACATTGCAAGCTGAGATCCAAACACTCTTAGGCTTTGTTTGGGACAGCTTTTTTACTGATTCTTAAAACATCTTTCTAGTACAATTTTTTAAATTTTTTACTAAAAAGCAGCTTTAAAAAGCAGGAAGAAAGCCGTCCCAAACGAAACGTAATAAATCGAAGCTTAATTATGATGGTAGTAGCTCCAGTTGTTGTTTGCAGGCTTAACTGCCAAACTGTATTTTTATTTGACCAGTTCGACTTATTATGTTCTTCATATAATTTGGAATGACCTAAAGGCTAAATTTTGTTAAAAACAGGAGTGTGCAATCATGCATTCCATTTTCACTGCATCAGTCGGTGGCTCAAAACCCGTCAAGTTTGCCCACTTGGTAAGGCATTACGTTTTGATTATTTTTTTTTTTTTTTTTAACTATTGTCTACCCGTTTTTGTTGTTTTTCATCTTCAACTTTTTTCTTTTTTTTTTTTGGGTTTTTGGTACATGTTTGTTAATATGCAGACAACAGTGAATGGGAGTTCCAAAAATATGGTCATTAGAACTGAGACGTGTCCTCCAGATTGGGAGCGGCTGCTGTGCTTTACGTTCTTTCTATTGTAGTTTTTTCTTCTTCTGTTTTTTTAATTCATTTCAACACAATCAGTGATATTCTGTATTGGCCATTCTGTTATCGTTGCTTGTGCTGTTTGGCATAGGACTACTTGGCTGCAACTTTGTGCTGTCAGCTTATACTCTTCCAACATAATTTTAGTTTGAACCTGTATTGCTTCCAGAACAGGTAAGAAAGCTAAATAGAATATAATTTAATTATATCTGCAAAAGAAATGCTTTATACTGCTGGAAGGAATATTTTAGCTTTTAGTACCAAGGAGTTATGCTGCATGGATTGAGTCAGTTTTGGCAAGCAGCATAGGATTCAATCAATGGAATTGAAGTATTTCATGGTATAACTTTATGCGATATAATCAATTTCCAAGGAGAAGCACCATGGTCAAAACATCATGAAAAGGAGTATGTTGTGATAATATAATTGCTTATTAGTTTGTAAATCCGAAAAAAATCTTTTGTATCAGGTTCGCAATCATTGGTCTTTCGATTTCATTGGTGCTCAAGTGGGTTTTCTTATGGTTTAAGCTGCAAAACAGTGTTGTGAGAAGCTATGACTTAGATTAAAAGCAAGCAAGATACATAGCAACAATAAGATGAAAATGGTTTCAAGTTCTTTTAATTTGAAAAGAACTGAACTTTAAAAATTCAATCTCTCTCTCTTTCTATCTCACTCAAAACCAAGAAAAAATTATGAGAGAAGCTTCATGCGGCACGTTTTTATGGCAGCTTGCAGTTCTATCTCCTTGTTTGAAATAAAAGAGAGAAGCCAAAGACAGATGGATTTGGTGTTCAACTACAGTTGTATACAATCTGATTATATTTTTTTTTATTGAAATAAATATTTCCTTGCTGCTGACTTGCCCATTCACTTAATTAAGTTGATGATGAGATGTAAAAGGAGAAAAAGATTGAGTTGGAGGCGAAGGATATTGGGTAACAACAGTCTCTTGCTTTCTATGTATTTATAAGTAGGTCAAAAATGATTGGAGATGTTAGCCATTTTCTTTTCATTGTACATAAGTGTGATGCAAAATTATTAAGATTTAGAAGAAGAAAATATAAGAGTAAGAAATACTTGATTAGGGATTTAATATATCTATCAGGAAAAAGGTATTAGACTATAAATCTATACTATTAATCCCTTTCGCTTGATTGATTCATCAGACTATTTTAAAGCCCGAAAGATATGGATATAGGACTGCATAGTGGAAGAACTAGCAAAAAAAAATTTTTTTTTTTTTTTGAAAAAATAGAAAATCGATTTTAAAAAAATTTCTTTAAGATAGAAAGATACATCACAAGACCGCAAGAATGGCCACATCAATGAAATTATAATTAATGATAAAATAAAAAATACTAGTGGCAAAGCAAACTTAGAAAAGGAAAGACAAAATCGAAAGAAAATCGAACTCAGATCGACATAACCATAACTTTCAAAAAAAGAAAATCATTTCTTCTTGGAACTCCGTTTACGTTGCTTAACAAAATTATTGAGTGAGCCCGTATCCAAGGTGGTATCAATAATGTCCTCTCCACTATCAATAGCCATGTCATCATGTAACCAATCACATTGTCACCTAACATCTCTAACAACATGGGTTAACATTTTAGCATTTGAAATGATAGAAATTGGCACATCCACTAGAGGCATCACAATACCATTCTCCCCAACAACAGCCAAGGTTTCCTCACCACTATCAACAAAAGAAACAGAATTATCAACAGACAATTCCGCACCATCACCAATAATCAGATTATCACTAAGATTAATACAACAGTTACTATTAGAAACAGCCACAAGGGTAGGAGCTACATTAGGAGAAACAACATCAGCAAGTGTAGGAGCTGCAGGGGAGAGAGCAGGGCAAGACACTTGCCCAACATAATGCACACCCACAACACAGTCATTACTAACATGGATAGGGGAGTCTACCAAAATAACAGGAGAGTCACCCGAACAAATAGAAGCAATAGAAACAGGGACAACCGGTGACTGAAATTTGTAAGATGGAATTAACTCAACCCCAAGATCACTAATAATGGGCAAAACAACTGGACACAGCCATAGAAATATCCCGAGACACAGGCGGTAAAACAATAGGAGACAGATCAGTAATAGTAGGAGTAGGAAGGATAAGGGTCGTATCCTTCCTAACATCCCCCTTGTCAATAGGAATATCAATATCATCAGAAACTCTTAAATCCGACTTAGACAAAGGAGCAGCATGCAAACTAACATCAAGAGTCGGTCGGCAGTCATCAAAAGCATGACCAAGACGCTTACATTTGGGACAAAAGAGAGTAAAATCCTCTATAGTAACTTGCTAGAAATACTTAAGTTTCTCAGGACCTAACTAAATCTTGTCCGAAAATTTCTTCGTGATATCAATTTCCACCAGCACACGGGCAACAGAGGGGCGATACCACATCACAGTGGCATTGTCTACCTTCACTGGGTTACAAAAGAGAAGCCCCAATCTATGCAAGATACGAGGAGAGAAAAAATAAGTATGCAAATTAGTGAATGAGATTCAGATCAGGACAATGGGAGACTCATCACCAATGTCACCGGAAGGAGACAATTTGGACACCTTTATGAAGCAATTGAAAACCAAATAAGACCCATGACAAAACACCATACTATAATCAAGATCATTCTCCAGCTTAATGAGAACATGAGATGAATCCAACACAGTCACAAAGAAAGCACCATTTAAACGAAGATTGAAAAAAAAAAATTTTTTGAATAGACACGAGCGGAGGCCGCCGTGAAGGGATGAAGCTAACAAGCAAAAACTTAAATGGTTCGGCAAGAGCAAAGAACTCTTCCGACACCAAAAGAGCAAGAACGCCACGAAAAGAAGACCGAATAGGATCAGGAAATCTACCAGGAGAAGATCCTGCTAAAGCTTCCAAAAACGAGCGAGACCTAGCCGAACCATCCAGAAAATCATGATCGGAAGAAAGACAAACCACCATTTCGGTAACAAAGAAAACGAAAGAGTAAAAGAACTTTCCTTGGCACGCGGAAGAAGCCAAGCATAGCTAGTAGAGAGCGGCTAGGGCAAAAGCTTTGCCCTAGCTCAGCACCATCAGAAACCTAAACCCTTATCTTCCACCTTGGCAACCATCTCTGAGAGCCTCTTCAAATCGACCAAACGATTGCAAGCCGCTAGTTGGGAGGAGAGGATCGGCAAAGGCAAGAAGACCGACGATAGGGCATAGTACAAAGTTGGGAGGAGAGGATCGGCAAAGGCAAGAAGACCGACGATAGGGCATAGGACAATGTTGGGCTCGGCAGCGACGTCGATTTGCGCCTGGGCTACATGGACGAGAAGCTACAAGTGGCCTTCGGTCTGGAAGGTTCCGTTGATGCTTCAGAGAGGGAATCTAGGGCTTGAGAACGGGGCTTCCCGAGGCGGAGTGAACGGGAGATGGGAAGTAGAAGCTTCAGTTAGAGCATCTCCAACCGAAAATGTCATTTTTCACTCCAAAATGCAGGGAAATCAAAAAATGCCGTATTTCATCTCCAATCCAACGCCATTTTGCCGCTAAAATGGTCGTTTTCGTTCGCGCCTTTCTTCCCAAGCTGTTCGGTAGAGAGAAAAAAATGCCGCAGATGAACAGTGCAACGCCAATATTGGCGTCGCACTGTTCATCTGCGGCATTTTTTTCTCTCTACCGAACAGCTTGGGAAGAAAGGCGCGAACGAAAACGACCATTTTAGCGGCAAAATGGCGTTGGATTGGAGATGAAATACGGCATTTTTTGATTTCCCTGCATTTTGGAGTGAAAAATGACATTTTCGGTTGGAGATGCCCTTAGGCAGAAAGTTCTGCTGATTGTTTTAATTTTTTAAACTGTTTTTTTTTTATTATTTATTTGGTTGCCATTATTATTGTGTTAGAAATTCAACCCTTTCATACTATCTTGGGTTGCTCCAACTGGCCCCTTAATATGCCAAGGCAATAATTATAGATTTTTGGAATTATCAGATTTCTGCAACAAGTAAATGGGAAAAAACTATCTCAAGATATTTTGCAGGATAGTTCTAATTTTTTTTGGATTTACTTTGATATGAGTGTAATACATATATAATTAATTACTACGTTAATCTCAAAGCAATTCAAGGGGCTTTAATGATGTGAAACTACTAGGATTTACATTTAGAAATTAGAAAGAAAGGTGATTAAAGCTTTGCTCATTTAAATTTAATGCTAGCACGTAAAAGAGAGTTAAGAATTTGAAATATTTAACTTGCTTAGGCCAAAGACGTGCAATAGAGAATAACCAAAACTATTCTTTCAAAGTTCAAAGTAATATTAAATGCAAAGTACAAATCACATAATCCAACGCTTAACAATGAGAGGTTCACCTCAAGGGCCTTCTCACTCAACTATTTGAAGGCTTTTAGCGGAGAATGATGAACCATATAATGAAAGATATTACCACTAGAAAGACGGTGCCGAAGAACTTCGTTGGCGGAGAGGTAGCCGGTGGAGATGAGGGTGGTGGGTGGCCGACGATGATCCAATCGTAGTCGGAAAATTGATGGGATGACGTGCGCAAGAGTAGGGACAACTCGCTCCAAATAATCTTCAATGGTGGCGTCCC